TAGACCTGACTTTTCTGAACCCTCCCAGCCTGAACTTTTTAGTTTCCCCATGTTGAGAAGGAACAGTGCTGGGCAAACACCACAAGAAATGAGGATGCCACCACTTCCACCTCGCAGGCTTCTCAGTCTTTCCTTTCTTACAATTACTTTTCAACCGAGTGCAGAGGTTCACAAGCTCTTCTGGGAGCCAGCCCTTCCAAGTGACTCTGCCCGCTCTGTCCTGGAGCGGAGTAGACCTGTGTCCGCTCCAATGGCAGGCGCAGGAGATACAGAAGCTGGACGTAAAAAGGGGAAAGAGAGCGGCTCTGGGACCACCTGCTGCTCCCTCCCGCCGGCACGCTGCTCGGGACCTCAGAGCTGTGCAGGCCTCTTTCCGTGCGTTCTCGGAGATGGCTCTGAGTTAAGGAGTCCCCCCACAGGTCCTCACGGATGAACAGGAATCCAGTCCGGAGAAAAGCACGCGGCGTTGTCAATTTTGAGCACTGGATGAGGGGATCTCGGATCGCAGCCTCAAAAGGCCGCAGGGTCTCCTTCCGGACCGAGAGTCCCCGCAGAACAGAATTTCAGGTCAAATTTAAATTTATCTAAAATAATAATAATAATAATTTGAATGTAAATTAGGCCTCCAGCCCTTGAGTCCAGGCCTGAGCGTCCAGGGACCCCGCAGATGCCGCAGGCAGATCCCGCCTCCGTGTGGACACTTGGACCACCTCCTTCCTGAGTACAATCTCTTCAGGAGACGCCAGGATTCCCTGGCACCGACAGTCCCTTCTGCACACCGGCAGAAGAACCGCTCATTTTACGCCCTACAGTCCCTCCTGGTGCCTGGGCCACGGCCACTCCAGGGAACTTTTCAGGGCTAATGGCGCCTAAGGTTGACTCTCTTGAGATCCAGGCCTTGAGAGATGGGAGCCCTCTCGTCCTACGTGTTCCTGGGAGCCGATGTCTGGTCTGATGAGCTGCCTCTGGACGCGGTGGGATCTGTTCCACGGCCCTGCCCACATGTCGCTCCACGCTGCCTCGGCGAAGTGAAGATTTCTATGGTTTGCTCCAAGGATACCAGAAGACCTTTACCCATCCAGGCCTTGAGCTGGATTTGTTGGAGCGGGGATACCTCTAGTACTTAGATGCTGGAACCAGGGACAGTATCTAACCTCCCTCTGAACTCGGCTGCCACTTGTCCTAGACCCTCAAGGCTCATTACCCCTAGAACAGATTTCAGAGGTACATATTCCCTTGAATGGTTCCCATGAGATCCAGGGAAAAATTCTACCTATATATATTCAATATTGTCCCCCGTAGATCGACTCGTACATACACTTAAGAAAACATCATAAAACTAAATGGAATCAATATAATTTAAATTTTAAAGATAACAAAAATCCTAACAGTAAAATCCATGTGTCTAAATTTAAAAATAAAATTTAAAAGAGACAATAAAATACAAAAATATTTAATATATTTTGACTCTGAATATCTGACTATAAATTCCTGAAAAAGATTGGAAGTGTTTTGACTCAGGCCACAAACTATTTTTAAAAAATCTATAATTTCTTTCTTCATAAAAAAAAAAAAAATCGATGCAGAAATCAGCTCTTGTTAAGCAGCCAAACAACAGTTTTCTAACGGATAAATTCTAATTTATTTTGGAGGATTCAAGTTTTTATGCTAAAGAAAAACAACCTGAAGTATTATTAATCTCATTAGCTATGTAGAAAGAAAGAGTTAACTTTATTCTACAAGAACTAAGTAATGATAATAGAATGATACAGGTCAATATTTTTTAACTGAAAGATTATTTACATACCATTTGAAAACATAACCAACAGTTATCAAAATTTATAAAATTTCCTCTATACATATTAAGGGGATGAATTTTATGATATGTAAATTTTACATTAATTAGGCTGACAAAATTATTGCAGGTCTCAAAGAGTTTTTTATTTATGGGATTTATGTCAGGATATGCTGCATTAGAAATTGAACTGAAAAATAAGAAAATATTATTTACTAAATAATTTAAAATAACATTTATAAAGCCATCTAGACCAAAGAGTGGGTAATGTCTAAATATTATTACAAAAAGAATGTTGGCTTCGCAGACCCCCAGAGTTCTGAGAACTGCACTTTGAGAACCCTTCTAGTGAGGACACATTTCCTGATCACTTACTAGCAGTGAGAATGAGATAAGGAAGAAAATGGTCCAAAGGTAGGGCTGCCTGGACCCCTGGACATCAAGCCTATACCTTCCTGCTCGATGTCCTGAGCCCTGAAAATCAAGAGCACTGCCTAGTAGCCATCTGGCACCCAACCTAGGGCACTGTAGGTGTATATGGGCAAAAGGGCCTGAAAATCCCACCACTCCCCTCTCCCCACCACAGACCACAAGAAGCTACAGCAGCGAGTCCACAGCCTGGACTTTCATCCTATGCTATCCAATGATATATATATATATATTTATTTATTTATTTATATTTATATATTTTTTAGTTGTTCATTCTTGTATTGTCTTTAATGAACATTGAGCTAAGTCAGAGATTCTCAAAATATGGCCCAGGAACCAGCACCAGCAGCAGATCGCATAATGGCATAATTTGTTAGATATGCAAATTCTGGCCCCACCTCAGATCTACTGAATCAAGAATCTCTGTGATTGAGGCCTAGCCATCTGTGTTCTAATAAACTCTGCAGGTGATTCTTATGCGCCTGCTAGGCTAAGTCAGTATTAATGTTAATCTCTGAGAAGGATCCTTTCTCAGAGAGGAAACACAGCACAGCTGGGAAGGGAAGCTTCTTTCACCTTCCTCCATCTCCTCCCCTTCCTGAATCTGGCTAGTCTGGGCAGAGATTCAGAGAATCAGTTCAGGGTCCTGGGGGCAGACAGGACCAGGCAACGAAGGTTCCTTGAGGAAAAGCACCAACTAGAAGGTGAAGAAAGTGAGTTGTACAAAACAAGATTACCTCGCTTCTGGTTACTGTTTGCTTTTTTTCCCCTGTAGTTTTCCTGATGCCTCTACTAAAGCCTTTAATCAGAGATCCAGCTTCATCTCTGACCCCTGTATAAAATGAAACAGGACCAGGGTTCAATGAACGTATTAATGTAGAACAGCCTTAACTGAAGTCACCTGGATGGTGACAGCAGTTATTCAGAAAGGCTTTAAAAAAGTAGAGCTGGAGTAAGAACTGCCCCCTCTGTCTGGAGATTCCCCTCCACAGCATTTTGGCAGAACGTCTGTGCTTTACTTCTGTTAATGAAAGAATCTTCGTTATTGTTCATTCAAAGGTCTGTGGATACCATAGGGATAGCAGTCTACCTCCATTCTCCTAATCCAACTATGCACATATGATTTTGCTACTTGCCAAAAATTTGTAGAATACAAAATAACCAAAAATTACATTAAATTACATTTACCTGTAACAGAAATAATTAAAAAAAAATAGTTTTGTTAATATTTGTTAATGTACTAGGTATAAGTTCTTTTTTTTTTTTAATTTTGTGTTCCATTAGAGGAAACATTATTAAGAAAATTAGCCAAAAAATTGACTAGTAAGATTGTTTTTATATATATTGAGAGATAGATTGAGGGGAAGAGAGAGAAGACCTCTATATAGTGAAATCATTTGCACTTATGATATCCTACTTGGGAAAAATGAAGAATGAGCAAAACTTCTAGGGATTAAATAATGTTTTAAAATGTATGTCACTAATCAGTAATTTTTATATACTGTTGAAAAACGTTTGTCTGAGTGTGAGTGAATGAGCTTGCACACACATGTGTGCATGAGAAAAGAAGAAAGTCAAATATTCTCATCTTTCCCAAAGACAAACAAGGAATTTAAAATAATTATGATTAGTATGTTAAAGGTTGATGAAAAAAAAATGTAGAGAACATGTAAGATGGGTAATTTCAGAAGAGAATGCAAACTATAAAACAGGATCAGTTAGCTACAAATAAAATACGTAGAGAATGTCATTGTTGGTCTCAACAGTAGATGCAATACAACCAAGAAAAGTATCAGCGGTACTTGGTTTCAAAAAAGTGGTTAATTTCAATTTGTTTAACATTTTTCTTTCCAGACTTCTGCATTTCTGAGCTGAAATAAGAAGACCCCATTATCTTTATCATGTCCCTAATGTCCCAATAATGTCCTTATTGTCTGTTAATTTTTTCACCTGAGAACATATTAAGAATACCACATCATAGTTAATTTTCATGTTGTAAAGGTATGTTTTCTCTTTTGAATTTAAGAACTAATATGAAGGGTAAAATGTAGTTATTTTAGCATCCATTAATGATTCTTGCCTGATTCAATTCTTATAGTATCTATTAAATGATAATTTTCTACCATTACTTCTGCTTTTATGAGTTGGCCTCTCCAAAATTAGGTAATTACTGCTCAATGACATCTTAAGAACCCAGGTTCTCTCCATCCCTTTGTTATCCTCAGAGTATTGGCTTTTATCCTTAGGCTAATTCATATTGGGACCACAAAATGTCTATGCAAATGGATATCATATTCAAATAATATCTACAAACACAAAAAGCAGTTTCTTTTTCAACATGTCTCCTTTGAAGCAAGAAAATATTTATTACAGAGTTCTTCTAGGAGTCTTACTTTCTTATTTCGTTGGCCAGCATTGGAGCACATATTTTGTGCTCACCAGTCAGAAGGAAAAGTGGAGGAACCATGATAGTTTGGGACAAAATATGACCCACTGTCTCTGTCAGGACCTCTGATTTCTTCGTCTTCATAAAAGAGATAACATAGATGAAAAGTATGGAGTTTCTAATAGGGAGCTGAGAAGTAATGCTGCAGGCCAAGGTTGGAAAACAATAATGCATCTTATCAGTCTATAGGACTTTCTCTGTGCCTCACCATCCTATTGAAAACATTGCCTGTCCTGCTATCATGTAGATGCATGTTAGTGAGAGAAGGCTTAAACTCAGCTCACATGCTCAGGGGTAAAGATTTCCCTTTCCTTTTGTTTTCTCAGAAACATGGATTCTCTATTAATGCAGCGTTCCTCCAGTGAGCTCATCTGCTCCATTTGCAAGGACTATTCCTTAAACCCTGTCACCATTACCTGCGGGCACAGCTTTTGTACTCCCTGTCTCTGTCTCTTGTGGGAAGATACCCAAACTCCTGCTCGCTGCCCTTTGTGCAGAACAATATCACAGCGAATGGACTTCAAAAGCACTATTTTAGTTAAGAAACGAGTTCTTCCCACTGAAGAGTCAGTTGTCTGCCGGTTACCAAGCCCTGCTGAGCAAATCTGTAAGACACACCATGCAATAAAGAACCTCTTCTGTCAAACTGACAAGAGCCTGCTATGTTTGTTCTGCTCTCACTCCCCAGGGCATGCCACTCACAGACACCGTCCAGTAAAGCAGGTCGCTGAGCACTACAGGGTAAGAAATGCCTCTGAATGCACTTTGAAATGTGAAATACCCTGTATCTGCTGGCAAGAGGAAAAATACATTGATTATTATTATTATTCTTTTCTGCAATAAACATAGAATTTCTGAACACCATGTGGCATGCACTGTTCTAAAATGGGAGATAAAGCAGTGAAGAAACTGGATAAATATCCTTTCTCTCCTTAATTTTTAATTCTGTTGGGTTGAGGAAGAGGAATATGATGACGCTGATGAGGATTAGGGTGCTGGTATTTGTGTGAGTAACATGGTAAATAAATCTGGTCTCAGTGACAGTCATTTGCTACTACAGCTATGATTACCATGAACCCGTTCTAATAATAGCAGATTTAGAAACACTGGCTAATATATTCTAATAGTGCCTTAGAAAAACTGAGAGCTAATATTTTAAAATTAAATATGAAGCAAGATTCACTTCTGAAAATTGACAAGGTTACATACAATATCAATGCCAGATTCTTCAGATAATGGATACATTTTTAAAATTCAGGAACTCTATATTGGTTTTATTTCTCAGATTTGACAATTAGTGTTCCCAAGGAAAAATCAATGACATCTCTGCTCTTTTTGTTGTTTATCTACAAATATCTGTCTATGTCTATCCCCTTATCTCTTTCTGAGGTACAGTCATCCCACCTTATCCGAGGGGGATGCAATCTGAAATCCTCAGTGGCTGCTTAAAACTGCAATAGTCCCAAACCTTATACTGTTTTTTTTTTTTTTTTCTATACATACATACATTTTTACGACTTCTTGTTGTTGGCACATCCAAATTACAAGCATCACTACTTTTGTGCTTTGGGTCATTATTAAGTAAAATAAGGGTTAGCTGAATGCAATCACTGTGATACTGTAACAGTGATTGTAACTGATATCTGATAACTGATACTGTAACTGATATCTGATAACTAAGATAATGACTAAGATAGGTAATGTATGCAGCATAGATACACTGGACAAAGGGATAATTTGGATTCCAGGTGAGATGGAGCAGAATTTTATCACACTATGCAGTGCAGTGCACAATTTAAAACTTAAGAATTGTTTATTTCTGGAGTTTTCCATTTAATATTTTCAGACTGTAGTTGACCTTGGGTAAATAAAACTGTGGAAAGCAAAACTATGAATAATGGGAGACAACTGTATCTGAAATATACTGTATTTACTTTTTTTGAGCTCATATTTATAGTTCTTTTGCAGGAGAACATTCTGATGCAAATGAAGTCTATTTGGAAAAACAAACAGAAAAATCAGAGAAATCTAAACAAAGAGATCAACAAATTCAGAGTATGGGAGGTAAGCAGTTAGCCCTATTTTCCTTGGCACCAGCTTGGGACAGATATGGTAACTCACAGTGGAAGGACTTGAATTAAATCATAATGTCCTTTGAGTGGATGATGAGAAAAAGAGCAACATATGCTTCTTTATAGGGAAACATGCCCTTCAGTGTAGGATCTCATGTAAAACTCAATATGCAACTGAAAGATTTTTCCTGACTTTTTTTATATACAGCAATATTTACCATGAATACATCAGCAGGGGCAAGAAAATGCACTATCACAGATAGAATGCAATGATCACTGGGATAGAGATAAAAATAGAGTGCTATTAGTAAAATTTGAATGTTAAAAACAACATCACAAATAAGTAAAAATCAATCTGATGCTAATATGGTAGTAGAATTACCTTATCTAACTTCTATGCTAACATGGATGGTAGTAGAATGATGGTAGTAGAATTTGTAAATTCATGGATATTAGTGACAGGAGATCTGAGGACCAAGAAAGGTAAAAGTAAAACCAACCATAGAATTGTTCGGGACCTACAAGTAGCTTGTATTAATTGGGACATAGAGTATGAAGCAGGTGATGATGAGAAGTATGGCTAGAAACATAATTATGACAAAGTCAAGAATGTGAATGCTGGACTAAGGATGTTGGATTGTATTATTCACTGATTCACAAAAATGAATTGAGAACCTAAAACCGAAGAAGTAAACTATATATTTATCTTCAAAGAGCTCAAGCACTTCTAAAGGAAACATAGAAACAGGCGATATTAGAGCATAATAATTCATTAAACAGGAATCTGTACATGGTACTGTGAGAATGCCATGGTGGAGGGGGATAAAATAATCTTGATCATTTAGGTTGGATTTTCTAATGAATCATTCATTCATAAGAGGGCTTACTATTCTAGGCCAACAAAGAGATACAGAAATAGACAAAAACAAAAACAAATCACTGACTTCAGGAGGTTATCATCTAGTGATAAAATTCAATCCACAAATAAAAAAGTAAAATTTATAATATATCACATTTGTGAAATGCTTGGGGAAAAAAATTAAAGCAGGGAATGAGTATAAAGAGTCCAGGTTTGGAGAATGCAGACTGGTCAGGGAAGACCCTTTGTGAAGGTTCCATCTGGGCAGAAATCTAAAGGAGATGAGGAGTGAACCAGCAGCTTCCTGAAAATGCATCTTTCTGGAGCAGAGTTAACAGAAGGTACTGGTAAAAGGAATGAGTAGTAAATAGTGTCAAATGTGAAAGGAGGGTGAAGTAATGAAAGAATGAATCATATTATTTGAGTTTAAGAAAAGGAGGCTCTTGGTGAGTTGAAATGTGTAGTTCAGAAAAGAGTATGGAATAGAAGAAAAAGTCGCTGCCTGGATAAACGATTGAAATTGCACACATGGGCACAGTGAGTTTGATCACAGTTGATCAATTAGTCTGGCTTTGATGGGGATAAAAGTGTTAGCATAGAAGCTAGATAAGGTAATTAGGACAAGGATGTTTAGTTTGGGGTTTTCCAAAACAGTTTGTTAAATTTGCATGTTTAAAGGCTGTGTGAAAAGAAGGAAAAAGCATATGTGAAAAAGTGATTGAATGAGGGAGGCAGTGAAACAGAGACAGACGCACTGAAAGAGGAGACAGAAGGATAAACAGAGACAGAGAGACACAGAAGGAGACGGGCAAAGGAGGGAATGAATATTGTGGGGTAGTAATCTAGAAAATAATATCGCTAAGGGGACAAGACAGGATGGACCAGTAAAGACGAGGTAGGTATAGCCCTGGATATTAAGAGACATGCAGAACCAAGCACTGGTAAAAACAAAGTGTTTTGGAAATTGAGGTAATTTTAGATCATGTCTAATGCCTTCTATTTTCCTAAGGAGGTAAATTGTTGCTTTTCACTGACATCAGAAAGTCAGGTTGTGAGTATTAGAATTGAGGAGAATGGATTATGATTTAGGTTATGTAATGAATTATAGGAAACAATATAAGAATTGATCTTAAATTCCTATTTTTTTCATGAAAATGTGAAATTTGAGGGAAAGTTGTTAGATACAATGGTACAGGGAAAAAAATAAATGAAAAGGAAGGGAGGGAGGGAAAAAAGAAAAGAAAACAAATATGTGGTTTCTTAGAAGTGGAAAGGCATAAAGTTATATGTAGTACTTCTATGGTCTGAATGTTTGAGCCCCACTCCCAAATTTGTATTTTGCAATTCTAATCCCCAAGGAGGTAGGGCCTTTGGGGGATGCTTAGGTCATGAGGGCAAAGTCCTCATAAATGGCATAAGTACCTTATGAAAGGGAATCCAGAGAAGTTCCTTGCTCCTTCTGCCATTTGAGGGCACAATGAAAAGATGGCTGTTTAGGTAGGGGCCTCTCTCCAGACACCAAATCTGTTAGCAATAATATTGGACTTCCCAATTAACAGACTGAGAAATAAATTTCTGTTGTTTTAAAGCTACCGAGTCTATGGTATTTTTATTATAGTACCCCAACAAACTGAGATAAGTACACTGTACATAACACATAGACAATAGATGACATTGGAAAAATAGAACCATCTAGATACAGGATCTTAATAATCCAATGATGAGGGGAAAGGGGAGATAAATGGGGTAAAAGGAGTCAAATATGCAGTGACAGAAAGAAATCTAACTATAGGAGATAAACACACAATGTAAATATATATATGCCTACTGTTAAAGTGTAAAAAATAAGCAACATTCATTGAACCTAAATAATTAATTAATTGATTGATTAATTAATTAATCCAATGTCACTGTAGGGTTTTGTAAATCTACGGATGTCGATGATCAGGGCTGAATATCCTAAGGTATATCAATACCTCCATGAAGAACTGGAAAAACATTTAGAGATCCTGGAAAATGAAGGCAGGATGATTTTTCAGCGGCTCCAGAGAAATGTAATCAGGATGAATCATACTGGGAAACTCATGAGAAGAATATATGAGGGGCTGAAAAAACTGTATCAGAAAGCAGACGTGGACCTGCTCCAGGTAAGGACTGAGGAAGGATGGCAGGGAAATCGTTGATATCCACTGAAGTTTATATCCTCTTTGACCTCCATTACTTTTCTGGTTCCAAATTCTACCTCTTCTGACTGTGATGACAGTTTTTGTTCCTCCAGTATAACCTGGAGACCCAGAGTCACTTTTGCCTTACATAGGAGAAGAAAAACTACATGAAAAGTTTTGAGTAACAGACCCAGAACATTTTTAAAAATTCTTCTGCTATACCTACAGTTTCTGACCAACTGCAACAGAACAGCTCGTGAATAGATAATTGTGTTTTGTATCTGGACTTGCCAATATGTGGAAATGTGGGATGTACTCATTCTTTCTATTTCGAAGATCTAGATTTGGAGCTCATGCACCCTTCTCAGAACTTTGGGGAAACATCTGTGAATCTTGCTAGAGATTGCAACAAAGCAAAGCCATTTGTTCACCCTAAGAACATCTTCTGATTTTAAATTTTATGAGGATCATGACTTGATAAAGCTAAGGAGAATGATAAATGATTTTGCCTAAGGAAGAAAACTGGAGATATTGAATTTTCCAGTCCAGTATCGTATTGTCAAACTAGGCTAAATACGAGAGCCACCTTGTACTGAAAACTAACCCTTCCTCTCCTTCTCTTTACAGGATTCAGGAGACATAGTGATAAAGTAAGTTGGCACCTTTATTCGAGTCGTGGTAACTGTGCCAGTGGTCAGGCTATTTCTGCTGAGATGGACCCATGATTTTAATAAGAAGTTTCTTTCCGTCTGCATTCATTCTTCCCATCTCTAAAAGATTTCCAGGCTTTATAGTGACTACCCTTAGGTAAAAGTGAAGATTGAGGGAGTATGGTTTTATTTGAAATGTTTAATGTACAGCATGCAAGAAGACAACTACTCCTTTTGCCTGTCATTTAAAAAATCCTCATTATTTGAGGATTATTCCAGGTCTCTTATGAGAAAGAGAAATAAGCTCAGAGAGTCAGCAAGTGGAAAGATCGTGAGAAGAGAAGAAAGGGAAAATCACCAAGGGAGAATATACTAAATTGCTGAGGCTCCCTCTATACAAGGTAGCAAGTTCCAAAACCTTGGTACCTATTGAATTTCAGGAAATAAATGAGAATTGCTTTGTGGCTTCCCTGGAAGGGAGAAGAAAACAGATATATTATGCGTGAGGTGATATATTCTACTTGGATTGATGTACTAACAGCAGGGAAGCAAATTATAGAATACAATAACACCACAGTATTCCTTCATCTGTAGAGTTAAATTCATACCCTTTAAAACCTAAATGTGAGGATTCTGAGGAAGCATCTTCTATGCATTGTGAATGAGACCCTGAGCCTGATAAGAAGTAGATCTTTTTTGTTTCGCAGAGGTCAGTTAGTGCAGCTATACCTGCCCCAGCCTGTGGAGCCACAGCTCAGCACATGGGCCATCACTGGGATGTTGGAAAGGCTTAACAACTTCCGAGGTGAGAGACAGCGCTCTGGTGTGACAGCAATAACATTTCCATACATGTATGACCTCTCTTCATTGTTCTCTTATTCTTTTCAGAGAACAGGGAATCAGGTATATATGTAAACCCTTATAATTAACTTTATAATTTATTGTGAATTAACTGGCAGAAGATGTTAGCTGAAGCCTGTCAAAAACAAACAAATACAACAGTTATATGATTACTTATAGTGATTAAAAAAAAAAAAGCTCCCTGACCTTAAACTGCATATCTGTTTAGTATATTTCAACTTTTAGTTATTAATTGTGGTTGCATGCAGATATTCAGATTTTTAGAAGCACCTTAATGTTGTTATTTAAATGTTTATCAAAATATTTAAGCAAAGTTATCTAAAAAATCACAAGATTTTAAAAAGTATAAAAGCATGTTTATAAACAAAAGTACAGCCACAAAACAAATGGGACACAGGATTGGTTATGTGGAGGGCAATTTGAAACAAATGTAGATGGCAAGTTTGGCAGATGAAGGAGAAGTTGACCAGGGATTCTATGGAAATTCTGACAGAAACCACTTCTTGAAAAAGGCACATATGGATTTCCAGTTCATTTTACCTTTGCTTATTTAAATATTACATCCTGATATCTTAGGCAGAGTGATCGCTATTTAGGAAATAATAATGACGATCATATATTTTAAATATAATATATAATATACGAAAGCTGCACTAGGAGAAAATTTAAAGCCTTACAATGTATATTTTTAGAAAGAAGAAAGGCTAATATCAATGAACTAATTATACAACTCTAAAATAGAGCAATGAGTTAAACCGAAAGATAAAAGCATATATTAATGAAGTTAAAAATAAATTTATAATACGGAAAAATCAACAAAACCAACATTTGATTCTTTGCGAACATAATAGAAATTGTTTAACTCCCTAATAACACGGATCAAGAGAAGAGACAATGCGCTATTTATCAAAGCCATATAATCAAAAGGGGATGCCACTGCTAGATTCTAGAATATTAAAAAGAATATAAATAAAAATAAATAATTACATGTATAATATATTTATTACTGTGATTATTTTATTTTGTGACAGTTGATTGAGAGGCTTACGTGAGTTAGGGGCTGTTTTGCTATTTACTTGGCATCTATGAACAAGCTCCCAAATTTTCATTGTGCTGGTAAAAATAAGGCCAGAGTCTGATACCCTACATCTTTACATAACCTTGAAATTTTCTTTGATTATGTCATTTGATTAGAAATCTACTTGCTTCGTAGAGAAACAAGAAGCCTTTGCTGACTTGTCTCCGTATTTCCAGCAACAGAGTCTCTACATTCACTATGATAAAGGCGTGTTCTGAAGTCAGGCAGCACTGACTTATCCATGAAAACTAATTGTTTCATGTTTCGGGATTTTACGAGCAATTCCTAAATGGTTGGTACCTCAAAAGTAACCATGATGGGGTGGGAGTATTCCCAGTAAACAAAACAAAGTAGTTTTGTTTTGTTTCAGAGATCTGGTTGTTAAACCTTTGCCAGAACATCGCTGCCCTTGGCCCTCACAACTTTTAAACTCTGTTCTTTAACTCTGCTGTTTTCTTTTTACTCAAGTGTATATTACCTTCGACCATAAGATAAGCAAGTATGATGCGCCTCTGTTTGAAGAACTGAGACATTTGCAGTGCAGTCCTGACCACCAAGCCACGTCCCATACTGTATACTCAGCAAGTTCAGAGTATACTTCTTCATGGGGAGCTCAGACCTTCACCTCTGGCAAACATTACTGGGAAGTGGATGTGGGAAACTCCCATAATTGGATTATAGGACTTTGCAAGGAATCCTGGGTAAATAGGAATGATATGCTACTTAACTCTGAGGGTATCTTTCTACTGCTTTGTGTCAAAATGGATGACCATGTCAATCTCTTCTCTACCTCCCCACTAATACACCAGTATATTCAAAGACCCCAGGACTGGGTAGGGGTGTTTTTAGACTATGAATGTGGTTTAATAAGCTTCGTTAATGTTGCAAAAAGTTCCCTTATCTGTAATTTCCTCTCATGCTCCTTCTCTTCCCCTCTCAGACCTTTCATTTGCTTTGGACCCAACTGATCAGAAACAGGTCACAAACCTGACCAGGATCTTGGGAATTCTAATAGTTGAGGAGGCTTGTATCCTGGTGACTTCTTGAATGGGGAAAAATCAGCTATATCTCATTGTCTTTAACTTCATTTTATCTTCAAGTGATACATTTGTTGTACTATTTTTAAAGTGATGATAAAGTTACATTTGGACATTTATCTTTTCTATTTTATTTAAATAAAAGTAATCTCTTTTATTGTATTGCATAGAAATATTCACCTTTCATTTGCTATCTGAGTTTGCTAGAGGTCAAAGAATATTTGGGTGTGAAAATCCAGCTAAATGCAAAGCTCAGAGAATTCTTCTTTCCTAGAGTTCTCGACAAAACCCAATGTCAGTGTAGAATTCATTTTCCCTCCATTGTCTGGCTAAGTCCCATTCATTCATCAGTTCTCAGTTTAGTGAACTCGATTAGGTCACATAATATGACCTTAAGGGCAGTTTATATACTTTTTTGGTAAAACTCATAATAGAATTTGTATCTTCTTTTCTAATTTGCAAATTACAAGAAGGGAAGTCCAGTAGCAGTCTTCTTCATAACCACATTCCAATAATTAAACACCAGCCTGAGGAAATGAGAGACATCAAAAAATATTTGAGCAAATGAATGAATGAATGTATAAGAAAATTATTAAAAACAAAGGCTACCGAACTGACAAAAATTACTATAATGTAGATACAATTAGTAGAACAGGAAGTGCTGCTGAGAAATACTGATGAGGCCTCTGTTTTCCAAAGAGTGTAGGTGAAATCACCTGTATTTTTCTCTTTTCTGTTGCTGCTTTGACTTGGAGATATCCAAAGTGCTTGTCAAGTAGGTAGGGTTAACTCTGAGAGCATATCTGTCTTTCAAGACTTGCCTTTAAGCTGCATAAGGAAGAACCAGAGGTCTTCAGTCTGGGTTGGATTTTCCCCACCACTGAGGCAATACCTGCTGAGCGCTCTCCCAAGTATGCCCTGTATTGTAAGGATTCCCCACTCTGGATAGTAGCAACACTTCCTAGCCCTATGCGAGCTGCAGATATTGCTCCATCTGCTCCTTTGGAGTTTTTTTCCTTGACGTCAGCTGCTCTCCTCACAAGCCTTCCATGATCTGTACTCAGCTGTAGACTTCAGTTGTGGAGCCTCTGCAGATGTAGGGAGAGCTCCTCTGGGCAGCTCCAACCTCCACCAGTGCTCAGTCCTGGGATCTCCAGTTATCTCAACTTCTTTGAACTTCCAACACTATCTCCTCACCTCAGGGAGACCATCACCTCCCTGGGCTAATCTGGAAAACTCCAGACAGCAAAATGGGACTGGCTTTGTGCTTCCCTCCTTCGCCACCTCTCTCTTAGTTTACTCTCCTATGCCACTTATTGTCGAATGTCTGAAAACTCTTTTCTACCACAGTACTGGGTTCTCCTTATCTGAGCTAGAAGAGCAAATTCCATCCCTGCTGTTCCGCTTCTGCTCAAAACAGAAGGTCAAGGGGAAAGTTATTAAACTATAGATTTAATTTCTTTAATAGATATAGAGCTATTTATTGTGTTGCAGAAAAATCAGACTGGCGAGAAACCAAGCACCACTCGGAGAGTTGGAGAACTCAGGTTTATTACACTTGTGGTCCCAGAAGAGCTAGTGCTCTGAAGATGGGGCCCCGAGTTCAGGAGTAACTTTGCACCCATTCATCTAGTCTGTCAGATTTATCAACATTGGCCTTTGCTAGATATTTGCGTTGCTGAATGAATTATGTAAGCCAGGATTTGGTGGTACTGAGGTGGGGTTTCTATCTGAAGCCTTCCATCTTAGGCTCTAAGGCCTTTTTGCACTGTAACGAGTGAGCCTCACTCAAGGGTGGTGTGGGGTGAGTGTAACCCCCCATCACACCTTCATGGTAGGAGGTACCCAGTGCAAAAGAGGTCATCTGGGTAGTTACTATGCACAGCTCTGACTCAGAAGAGCAGACAGCCCATGGCCTTTGTGGCAATCAGGTCAATGGTAGGTTGTGAAGGAGGAGGAGGTCAGAGATTTCCAGAATCTTGGTCACTATGGTCCATCAGGGCCCTGCCTTGCCTGGAGACTCCCGGGTGTAGATCTTCCCCCTTTGGATAAGAGCTTTCCTGATTCTTGTGAGCTCTGCCCATTGCTGGTGACACCGAAGCACTATTCTCTAAAGGATTTTGCAAGCCTCTCTTGGATATTACTGGCCTTTCTCCCCACTATATCCCAAATGCCAAAGCCAGATGCCCCTAGGCACTGTCCCTTTGAAGACAAATATAACCTACAGCCTTCAGAACTGTCTCAGTGCCAGCCACCTACCTCTCAGCTGTCACCACCAGGGGAACCTTTCCCCCAGTGATGGGCAGAAGCACCCTCAGCTGCGGCCCTGAGTCCAGCTCAATGCTGGGCTACTGCGGCTGGTTGGGGCTTCAGGGAGATACAATCCACGGTCCCAAGTGTGTCCAGGAGGAGACCATGTGCCAAGAGCTACTGAGGCCAAAACAGGAGAAAATTGTTTTTAATAGGTAATCGAAAGTGAGAAAGTGGAAGCTAACTCCTCTAGTTTCTCACTGCATTTTCCTGAATTTTTGGCAAAGGAAAGCAAAGCTAGAAAGCATGAGCATCTACATTGTACTCACTTGACTCTAGTGCCTATGAAGGACCATAGGTTTTGGCTGCCAGCAGGAGTCACATTGGCACCATTAGGCCTCCACCTGTCTCCAGGCTCTGGTCCTCCAGCGACTTTCTGCTCTCTTCCCACACCTCCCCATCTAGGCGAAGTTGGAAAAAGCAACTGCCAAGGGCACCCTAACCCTGTCTCCTTCCACAACAACCCTCTGCACCCTCTGCTCAGGCAGGACATCGCAGTCTAATGTGTAGCATTTGCAGAAGCTAAGAGCAGTGGGAACTCCACTGGTTTATTTATTTTTTTTTTGAAATTATATGAATTTAGTGTTGCTGATTTTCATTAAGTATCTAATAGATACAAAAATACATATGAAATATCTATAAATTAGTAATAAACTGTTGTGCCCATTCTCCTAAGAGCCGCCATGCAGAGTGTTTTATATCAAGTACTTGTATCACCTTTATTGCTTACCATCTGTGTTTCTAACCCTCAATAATATATTGTAGTTTTGCAGGTTTTGAAAGTTAGATACAGATCGTACTCTGTTTATTCTTCTGTGATTTCCTCTTTTTTACTTTAAGATTGTGTTTCTGAGATTTATCCAATTTGTAGCATGTAGCTGAGGTTTATTAATTTTCAGAACACTACATATATATTTTTTATTATATTTCTTCTTTTTTCAGCTTCATTGAGGTATAATTGAAAAATAAAATTATATATTTAAAGTATACAATGTAGTTATTTGATATATTATATATCTTTAAATGATTACCACTAACAATTAATTAACATATCCATCACCTCATGTAGTTATTCTTTTGCTTATGTTTGTGTGTGTGAGTGTGCGTGCGTGTGTGTGTGTGTGTGTGGTGACGACACTTAAGATTTGCTCTCTTAGTAAATTTCAAGCATACTATGTATATATAGTTAATTACAGTCACTGTGCTTTATTTTAGATTCTCAGAATTTGTCATATAACTGAAAGTGTGTACGCTTTCCCAACATTTCCCCCAGCCCCTAGAAACCACCATTCTATTCTGTATCTGTGAGTTTGACTTTTTAATTTTTTCTTAATTCCACATATAAGTTACACTATGTGGTATTTGTCTTTCTACGTCTGTTAGTTCATTTAGCAAAATGCCCTCAAGTTTCATTCATGTTGTTGCAAATGGCAGACTTTCCTTCTCTTTTTGTGGGTCAATGTTGTTGCATTATGTACATATATACCACATCTTTATCCATTTATCTGTCAGTGGACACTTAGGTTGTATTCATATCTTGGCTATTGTGAATATCGCTGCAATAAAAGTGGGGGAGCATATATCTCTTCGAGATACTGATTTCAGTTCCTTTGAATATATATACTTAAAAAGGGAATTGCTAGCTCATATGGTAGTTCAATTTTTAATATTTTGAGGACTATTAACACCATATTGTTTTCCATATGGCTGTACCAATTTACTTTCCTACCAATGGTGTATAAAGTTTCCCTTTTCTCCACATCTTCACCAAGATTTGTTATCTCTTGTCTTTGATAATAGCTACCTTGACAAGTGTGAGGTGATTACTCATTGTGGTTTTTATTTGCATTTCCCTCATGATTAGATGATGTTAAGTATCTTTTTATGTACCTGGCCATCTGTATGTCTTCTTAGAAAAATTGTCTATTCAGATCTTCTACCCATTTTTTAATCAGATTTTTTTCTGCTATTGAGTTGCATGAGTTCTTTATATATTTTGTATATTAACCCCTTACCAGATGCAAGATTTGCAAATACTTTCTCCCATTCAGTAGGTTTCCTTTTCACTTGGTTGATGGTTTCCTTTACTGTTCAGAGGCTTTTTTGTCTGATGCAGTCCCATTTGTTTATTTTTGCTTTGTTGCCTTTGCTTTTGGTGTCAGATCAAAAACCATTACCAAAACCAAGAACAGGGAGCTTACGGCCTACACTTTCTTCTACTTTTACGTTGCAGGTCTTACATTCAAGTCTTTAATCATTTCGAGTTAACTTTTGTGCACAGTGAAAGATAGTAATTGTTTCTTTTCTCTCTCTCTCTCTCTCTTTTTTTTTTTTTCTGCATGTGGCTGTCTAATTTTTCCAACATCATTTATTGAAGAGACTCTCTTTTTCCCCATTATGTACTCTTGCTTCCTTTTTCATAAATTTGGCCATATGTTGATGGGTTTATTTCTAGGCTCTAGGTTTGCTATTCTGTTCCTTTGATCTATGTGTTTGTTTTTATGCCAATACTGTACTGTTTTGATTATTATAGCTTTGTAATATAGTTTGAAATTAGGGTGCTTGATGCCTCTGTTCTTTGTCCTCAAGATTGCCTTGGCTATTCAGGGTGTTTTGTGGTT